CTTCCTGCTTTCCCTTTCGCCTCCCTGCATTGTGCCTACATATGCAAATTAATCACCATCTTTGTTGTCAGTTAACTGCCATCTGAGTTGGCAGTTAATTTGCATATAGCCCTGATTAGCCAATGAAAAGGGTAGCGTCGTACGCCAATTACCATTTTTCTCTTTTATTAGTGTAGATAGTTACATTGAAAATGCAGTTTGTTCAGGAATCTTTTCTTGCCATAATTATTTTCATATTATTTTTAATAATGGACTTTCTAGCAGCCCCCATTGTCCGCATCCTCTGGGAGCATGGCCAAGTAGAAGGTGGAAGGATGCATGAAGTGTGGCTGGGTGGGGGTTGGGTCTGGGGGAGGCTTGAGAAGGCAGGAACGCCTGAGGAAGTGGAAGATGCCTTTCCCCTAGCGTTTTGATTTGTACTGTTGGAATAAAACCTTCCAAAAAAATTACCTATGTCCAGCGTCAGGAAGATAAGAGGGGAGGGTGAAGAGAAAGGCCTGGGACTCAGCCAACCAAGCCTGTTTCTGCTCTCTGCCCGTAGATGTCATTGCTGTCCGCATGCTAACTCTGGCTTTTGGAGCAGACCTTGGGACAGTCACACCCTTTCTCAATGACAAGGGGGGGTAGCCCTTGAGCTAAACAGTTATTTTTCCCCCAAAGGAAATTCCAGCAGCAATTTTTAGGAATATCACTTTTTTAAAAAATGTATTTATTGATTTCAGAAGGAGGAAGGAGGAGAGAGAGAATTGTTAATCAGCTGCCTTCTGCATGGCCTCTACTGGGGATGACCCAAATGGGTCTGGGCATGAGCCCCAACCGGGAATCAAACGGTGACCTCCTGGTTCATGGGTCGATGCTCAACCACTAAGCCACACTGACCAGGCACTATGTCACCTTTTAAAGCATGCTCTCTCCCCTCTAGGAAACCCTGTGCTTAAGCACGTATTCGTTCTACAAGGTAGGATACAAAAGCTTTTCCAAAGCACAACCATAAAGAACAAATAATACATAAAACAGGCGCACGTGCGTGCATGCGTGTGTGTGTGTGTGTATGTGTGTGTGTGCGTGTGTGTAATAAAAAAGCACCTCTGGAACATACATCATTGGAATTTATGTCCATTTGGAGACAGATTCTCCTCTGGTGTGGGTTAAAGAGTTCCATATATTAACAAGTTATTATTTATATGCTAACAAATGGAGTTCATGCAAACCATTTCACATAGGAAAGAACTGATGGTATGCAGATTATTTGAGAAAGCATCTGAAAACCGATGGCAAATATGTCTACATGCTAAGATCACGCAATGGGGTGACCTCACTACTCAAGGATTCCACCAAAGAAGCTTCTGTAAGTGGCCTCTTCCTGTGGGTCAGTTTCCTACAACAGAGCCCATTAAAAGCAAAGAAACGCTGTTTGGTTTAAACTGGATCTTACAGATCGCGATCAAATTCAATCATTCCATTGTTTTCTAAAGAATTTCATTTAGAATCATGCAGACTTTTTTTGAAAAAATTGCTTTAAAAAGTCATTTGTTCTAAATCTGATGTCAGACGAGGAAGGGAAAAAAATCATACAAAGTTACCCATTAAAGGCCTTAGGCAAGTAACCAGTAATTTTAACTCAAACTCCCCTTTGCTGTGTAAAGACATGGCCTTGGAAATGACCCTCATAAATAATATTATTTATGTTAAAATACGTAATTTTTGAAGGCGCAGTGAGATCCAAATTGCACCTCACCAAATGATTATGCCGCGGCATTTTCAGGGCTCACCTCTCACAGCCGCAGCGGAAGAAGGTAATTTCTCAGGCTCGCTGGAGCAGCGCCTGGTGCCGACAAGCCTCGAGCAAAAGCCATCAGGACAGCTAGTCCTGTTTCCTGACACAAGATGTCAGTGTGTTTTATGCCTGTTAGGCTCCTTTAGGTTCCCCCACGTGTAAATCAAATATAAATTCACTCTTGGTGGGTTTTCTTGACTAAAAATGTTGAATGGTAAGTGTTTCCATTTGGGTTTTTAGGATCTTGCAAGTCAGTCTGGACTGTTCACCAAATAATGACTCTTCTAAAGACTCTCTGATGTGGGGATGCTGTAAGATGAACTGGATAGCGCCTGGTTCCCTTAAGGGACTCCCCGGGGCCTCCTTTACCGGGCGATGCCCCAGGGCAAGGAGTCATGCAGGAATCTCTATGTGGCTTCAGGCCCCTAACACCTGCTCCTCCAATGGGGATGGCTGTTCTCCCTCTCTCCCTGGTGCCACAAACACAACCGCATAGGGCCCCTAGGATGCAAATCCAGATTCCACCGTGTTACCCACTGTGTCCCCTTGGATGGGGTAATGAGCCTCCCTGAGTCTGTTTTCTTACCTGAATCTGGCAGAAAGGGAAAAAGTCAATCATATACCAAATATTGATTAAACACTATGACATTGCAGGCAGAATCTATATCCCAAATCCAAGAAAGAGACACAGTTTCCTCTCTCAAGAAGCTCAGAGTAAAGAAGTGAAATATACAGCACACCACGGAACAGTGCCTGTGGGCCAGCAGGGGGCACTTTAGTTAGGGGACCAGGGAAGGCCTTGAAGAGAGGCAATAAAGGCAGCAAGATCACCCAGGGGAAGAGCCAGCAAGCAGTCCATGGGTTACATGTGGCACCACAGCCATGACTTTGGTTTACACGTTGTCTACGGAAGCTTTCAAATCACAGCAACAAGCTAAGTAGAAAAGACTGATCAACCTCTGGCTTAAACAATAGGGGCTTTTCTCCGTGGCAAAACGTCCAGGGTGCACAGCCGTGGCGCAGCAGCCCATGGTGTTAAAATCTGTGTGCTTTCAGCCTGTGCTCTAAAATGACGGCCAGTGCATCAGACATTACACGCTGGATCCACCTCTGAGACAGAAGGCAAGAGAAGGGAGCATCTGTTCCTCCTCCCGGGAAAGCAGAAGTTGTATTCTCTCCCTCAAGTCTCCCCTCAGCCCCCACATTCTTCCCTATTTCTTTGCCCAGAAGTGGGTCAGATGGCCACCTCTAGTTTCAAAGGAAGCTGGGAAAGCCCTGAAAACAATTGTCAAGATCGACAGAGACTGGCCTTCAACTATTTCTGACTGTGGTCCACAGTGAGAAACACATTTTCTATCACAGCCTAATACTAACTTAATTTCATGACTCACTATTGAGTTGTGAGCACAGCATGAAAAATACAAATGATCATCTGTCAGGAGGGGCCTACACGTTGCTGCTCCAACAAGTTTCTCTCTCCCCTCTCTTTCTCCCCTCTTCTCTTTCCTCCTTCTCCTTCTCTTCTCCTTCCCCTTCCCCTTCCCCTTCCCCTCCTCCTCCTCCTCCTCCTCCTCCTCCTCCTCCTCCTCCTCCTCCTCCTCCTCCTCCTCCTCCTCCTCCTCCTCCTCCTCCTCCTCCTCCTCCTTCTTCTTCTTTCTCTCTCTCTCTCTCTCTCTCTCTCTTATCTCTTCTTTTCCTTTCCTTTCCCTTTCTTCTTTCCTCCCTCTCTCCCTTTTCCCAAAGAAGGAAATAAATATTGGATTTGCAACTAACAGTATCCACAACGTGCACCATAAATGAGCTGGAGTTCCATGAAAATTGTAGGAAAAGGTGATCCTCTTTCTGAAGGAATGAAGACCCTGGTGATGGGCACTATGTTCCATGTAAAACTCAGGTAGATAAACCCCCTCCCAGGACTGTGGCGGAGATTGCTTGGTGTCCCTGATGGAAGGCACGTGGCACAGTGCAGACACCCGGCCTTGCAGGACATATTGGGTCGCTTCCTCAAATCCACTCCTCACTCCAGACTAGGCCTGGCCATGGGGCAGCACCAACTAGGTGAAAGACTGATTCACTTTCAAGAGCTGGAAAGCCCCAGGGAATTGTGTGTCAGCTTGGTGCTGTTTAATTACCCTACTGGGTGGGGGTAAATGCTCACAGGTGGAGAGTTGAGTTGCATTTACCCACTGTTTTAAAAGCCCTTTTAGAAGCATCCAATGATTGGCCTCAGCCTTGATGACCAGATCTTTGGACTGTGCAAGAGGAGGTCCCGAACCACAGGGACGCCCTGAGCTGGGCCATTCTCCATGAATTCACACAAAGGTAGAGCTGAAGGACCCCCGGGCTGGTCATCTTTACCCCCTCATCTGTGCAGGTGGGGAAACTGAGGCCCAGAGAAGTTGCATCATGGCAAGGGCGTACAGGAAGTAGATGGCAGAGCCCAGTCTCTTTACCCCAAACCCAGCACAGCCCCTCTAAAGTGGGGTGCAGGCCCGGAGATTTCACTGACCTGATTTTTGCCCACGTGGGTGCCTAAATTTTCCAGAAGGTCCAGATTCTAAAATGGCCATGTGACTCTTAATCTTTGTAGATTGAGCCACAGACAGAATGAAACTAAAGGGATTTATGCTGGGGATAGGAAAGAGGAGGTCCATCCCGAAGTCAGGATTGGGAATCAAGAGATAAAACAGAAATCACAAATGTTTCCATTAACCCTTCCCTGCCCGGCCACTCACACGGCCCGGGAAGACCGAGATGTTCGGAGTTCCCTAGTAGGCCTGTGGTCTCTGTCCTCTCTGCCTCCGCGCAGGCAACTAATACTCGCGAAGTAGGCGGTGGCGAGGAGAGAAGTTTATCTTTTTCTCTTTATCATCGGATCTTTCTTAAACCCAGTGGAGCCCTGAGAGGCCACCTCAAGCACCCAGCCGAGTACAACGGGTGCCCCTGGAGCAAAAATTAACAATGCTCGGGCCTTACAGATCCTATC